TGGGTGTGCACCGTGAGGAATGCGGCCTGGATCATTCCATGGCACCGCTTAGTGACTCTTTCTTGCTGATACCTGTGTAGTGATTATGTGATTTAGTTAATGAGCTATAAATCATGCTAATTACCATGTTAAGGCTTCACGCCGATACTATTGAGACCCGAGAGGTTGTTTCTTGCTGTCATATCATTAGCTTCATTGATATTCTGTACTCAGTCTTGTTCATACATATTATATCATGTCTCAGTCTCGGTTATTGTTATTTGGCACATCATATCATTATTACGGGCTAGTTTCTTGGTATTGTGAGCCCGTGTGTGTGAGACTAGAGAGTTATGACCGAGTGAGGCCGAGAGCCTGATTATGAGTGACAGCATGGGATCGGGCTGCACGCCGCAATAGATTATTGATTATGCCTTCGTTGGCTTGACATAGCGCTTGGGCTGAAAGGGGCCCCTCCGGAGTCTACACACCCCCAGTGAGCGCGGTTGATATTATTGAGGGATGGATCTTCCCTGGACATGGATCTTGTCCGAAGTAATTATACCTGGAGATGGATCTTCTCCATAGGGCTGGAATGGCCTTCCTCGGTACTGGGTGACTGATGTCAGTGATGTGTATATATTCCGGGATGGATCTTCCCTGTGCCGGATAGTCATATACAGTACCGAGTGGTTGGGCACTTGAGAGTGGAGGTACATGGTACATTTTCATGCTTTCTGTGTATTGGTACGTAGAGGTTTCCTGAGCTTTATACTTCACACTGTTAAGATTTGTACTATTGAGTTGAATAGTTAAACTGCAAGCATGCCTACTTACTGTACAGTTTAATTGTGTTACATGTTGAGGTTTAGTTCGTCACTACCTGTCAGTCCATAGTTTGGACTTGTTACTTACTGAGTTGGTGCACTCACGTTACCCCCTGCACCTTGTGTGCAGATCCAGGTATCTCAGGCCACGGTAGTGGCTATTGACTATTCCAGACGCGGATTTCACTGGAGATAGCGAGGTAGCTGCCTGACGTTCGCAGTTCCGCCTTTCTCCTTCTTTATCTTCCTTCTAGTATATTTGGGTATTTCAGACTATGTTGGTCTAGTTGTGTTTCAGAATGAATGTAGAATTGCTCATGGCTTAGTGACACCCGAGGTCGGGCTTTTACTTTCCGTTTTTTTTTTGTTTTTTTTTACTTAATATCTTTTATGGAATTTCAGTTGAAAATGGTATTATTTAAGCTTTAAATGAAATGTTGAACTATTTTGGAAATGTGTCGGTTGGCCTAGTTTCATGATAGGTGCCATCAAGACCGGGTCGATTTTAGGGTCGTGACAAGTTGGTATCAGAGCCTAGGTTACATAGGTCTCACGGGTCATGAGCAGGTTTAGTAGAGTCTCGCGGATCGGTACGGAGACATCTATACTTATCTTCGGGAGGCTGCAGAACCTTTAGGATAAACTTCACATTCCTGAATTCTTGTCGTGCGAATCTGTTGATTCTAGTACTAAACTTCTGTTATTCTATTCTCTCACAGATGGTGAGCACACGTGCTAGCGGTCAGGACGGACGACCACCAGTACCACCAGTTGGGGTCACTAGAGCCTGAGGTCGCGGTCGAAGGCCGTGGTAGGGGCAGGGGTGTAGCCCGCACAGCAGATAGGGAAGCACCTGCAGATCCACCAGCCGCCCCAGTTCATGATCAAATTCTAGAGGGGGATGCTCCAGCAGGACCAGCTCAGGCACCGATTGTGCCTATTGTTATTCCGGGTCTTCAGGAGACCTTGGCTCAGATCTTGACCGTGTGCACCAGGTTGTTCAGGGATTCCAGACACCAGAGGAACCACCAGCCTAGCCGGTTGCACCTGCTCAGGATTATGTGGTACCAATTATGCCTGATGATGAGCAGCGTCGATTGGAGAGGTTTGGTAGACTTCAGCCTCTAACTTTCAGTGGTGCAGAGGGTGAAGACGCCTAGGGTTTCTTGGACAAGTTTCAGAGGTTTCTTCGTACAACGGGCATTCTGGAGACCAGTAGGGTCGCATTTACTACCTTTCAGTTTATTGGAGCTGCCTTTACTTGGTGGAAGGCTTATGAGAGGCGTAGGCCTGTTACTGCATCGCCCCTTACCTGGCATCAGTTCTCCATTCTCTTCCTGGAGAAGTATGTACCGCATTCCCATAGAGAAGAGCTGCGTAGGTAGTTCGAGCAGTTGCATCAGGAGGATATGATCGTTATGCAGTATGAGATGAAATTCTCCGAGTTGGCCCGTCATGCTATCTGGCTGGTTCCCACGGATAGGGAGAGGATCAAGAGGTTCGTTGATGGCCTCACTTATCAGCTACGGATTTTTTTGACCAGAGAGAGGGTATCTGGCGCTTCTTTTGAGGAGGTAGTTGACATTTCCAGAGAGATTGAGTCAGTTCGCTGCCAGTAGCGAGTTGAGAGGGAGGCCAAGAGGCCTCGAGGATATGGTAGCTTTGGTGGTGTACCTTCTGGGGGTCAGTTTCAGCACGACAGAGGCCGTCCATTCAGACATGCTCAGCCAACACGTTCGAGTCACCGTGGTGGATCATCTGGCCATGGTTCTCACAGTTCATATTAGGGTCACTCATCTCTCAGTGCCCTTCTAGCTCAGAGTTCGACTCATGCACCATCAGTCCAGGGCTCATCTATGCCTGGGTCTTCTAGTGGGTATCCTGGTGCTCAGGGCTCCCTTCGGTCCCCACCACCATTTGCCGGGAGAGGCTGCTTGGAGTGTGGAGATTTGGGTCATATCAAGTGGTTTTGTCCCCGTCTTACGGGAGGTTCATCCAGCAGAGGAGTCAGCCTTCGGCTTCAGCACCAGTTACTTCCCCACCTGCCCAGTCAGCTCGGGGTGGAGGTCTGTCAGCTAGGGGTCGCCCTAGAGAGGGAGGCCGATCAGGTGGCGGTCAGGCCCGTTTCTATGCCCTCCCAACCAGACCAGATGCTATTGCTTCAGATGCTGTGATTACAGGAAATGTCTGAGTCTGCCACAGAGATGCCTCTGTATTATTTGACCCTGGTTCCACTTTTTCATACGTGTCATCATATTTTGCTCGTTATTTGGGTATGCCCAGTGAGTCTCTTGTTTTGTCTGTTGGTATATCTACTCCGGTGGGCGATACTATTATTGTGGACCGCATATATTGGTCGTGTGTGGTGACTATTGGGGGTTTGGAGACCTGAGTGGACCTTCTGTTGCTTTGTATGGTGGATTTTGATGTGATATTGGGCATGGACTGGTTATATCCATGTTGTGTTATTTTGGACTATCATGCTAAGACAGTGACGTTGGCCATGCCGGGTGTGCCACGGATTGAGTGGCGAGGTTCGACGGATTATGTTCCCTGTAGGGTAGTTTCATCTTTGAAGGCCCAACGGATGGTTGGGATGGGTTGCCTTTCTTACTTGGCCTTCGTGAGGGATATCAGTGCAAAGGCTCCTAGTGAAAGACAATATAAGTCTTGGGCTAGAGTCCATTTGGACCTAGTCCTTGTCAGGCCGCAAACTTTAAATCTGGGCCTGTTTGACAGTTAATATGTAAGCTGCCCCATTAATTAAATAAATGTGTCACATAGTTTTGGAACATTTACACCTAGTTACATGACATAGGGTACTTAGTTTAGAGACATAATCACAACTTTAGGTACACTTTAAATTGAACTAACCATTATAATTATGTACACGTGTGCGTGACATAGTTGTGATGCAAAAAATAAACCAAGGTATACGTTTGCGTGACCATGGTCAAACATTTTAGCAAATAAAACGCCTTAATCAAATATTCGTAGAAATGCTTTAGGCACGTTTTTTTAAAATAGCTTTCATGATTACGATATTAAATAAATTCAAAGTACATGTTCGCGAAATTTTGACCAAACCCTTTTCCTTAAATAAACTAAGTGTTAGGAATTGTGTACACGTACGCGTGATACAATTTTTGACACACTAAAACTAAACGAGTATATGTACACGTAACTCATCTTAAGTTAATTCTTTAAATACGGATTATCAAGTGATTAATAGCGGTAAAAGGTAAAATAAACATAGGTTCTAAAATGAGTAATTAGATAAAATAAGTCAAGTATAAATTACTAAGCGACCGTCTTAAAACCACGGAACCCGGGATGCCTAACACCTTCTCCCAAGTTAACAGAATTTCTTACCTAGTTTTCTGGTTTCCCAGACTTTAAACGAAGTCAAAATTTCCTAGATTTGGGATTTAAAATAAATCGGTGACTTGGGATACCAATAATTATCCCAAGTGGCGACTCTGAATAATAATCCCATTTCGAATAATGTCACTTCAATGGGAAAAACTCCTGTCCCCCTAGGGAAAAAGGAGGTGTGACAACTACTACTCAATGTCTTTGTAAGTCCAGAAAACAAGGTAAAAATAACATGGGCTAGCCAGTTTTCGGATTGGTATTGAAAAATAGCCAGCATTTGCAAAGCCATTAAAAAATAGCAACTATTTTGCTGCAACATGGAAAGTTCCATCATAATATACTGGAGATTGGTGCACCTGTGTATGAATTTCTAGCATATTATGCTGGAACTCCAACACGTGAAAAGTTCCAGCATAATATACTAGAGATTGGAGCACCTGTGTATGAACTTCCAGCATATTATGTTGGACCGGTATATTATACTGGAACTCCAGGGAGTTCCAGCATAATATACTGGAGTTCCAGTATATTTTATTGGAATTCCAGTATATTATGCTGGGATATTTTCCAGATTTTGAACAGTGTTTCGTTCAGATTTATCTTTACATAAAAAATGGCTAGATTTTGATTACTTTTGAAACTGTGGCTATGTTTCAATGACCACTTGTAATTCCGGCTATTTTTGAATTTCTACCGAAAACAAGGCTCATACGAAACAAAGCCCACCATATAATTTTAGCCCAAATATTCATCATTTAAAAATCTGAAAATATCAAAGGATCCCAGATTTTGGTTCACCTTACCCTCTCATCCTCAATTATCATAAAAAATAAAATAAAATAAAATGAACTACTACAATAAAATTCTGAAAAACCCAAATACTGCTCTTATCTTCCTCCCAAACTTGCTGTATACTGCTAAAGCCTAAAAAGTCTCCACCTTTCACATCAAACTAACCAAACCAGGTATATTATTAATTTTCTTTGTCAAAAAATTAAATCTTTAGTGTTGGTTCCAAGTTTCATGGAGCAGCTCATGTGCATATTATAGAAAAATGGCATCTTTTCCTCTTGTTTCAAATGAAAGATTATTAGTTTCTCACAAGAAATGGCAGCCCCATGTAGGAAAGTTTGAACCTTTAAGTAGATTCAAGAATCAATCTTGCTCATTATCCACTTCTTGTTTTACCTCAAGTTGTGTGCCTTTGTTGGGGTTGAATTATAAATTGTATAAATCTCAATGTAATTACAAGAAATGGATGGTCCATTTTGGAAATTTTGAACCTTTGAGTAGATTCAAGAATCTATCTTGCTCATTTTCAAACTCTTGTTTTGGGTTGAATTATAGGTTCTGTAAATCTCAGAGTAGAATACTACTTTGTAGTACTGGGGTTAGGTCACTGGTAAATGAGAGGGGAGATGTAGAAACCCATTTGAACAAAACAGAAAGTAATGATATTCGTCGGAAGTTTTCGTTGAGATTGAGACCAAGGCTAAGATTATTGTCAAGAAGGTTGAAAAGGGTGTCTGTTAATTCTATGTTAAATGATTTTGGCAAGTTTTTGAGGAAGAATACAAGAAGAGTGACACTGTCAACTTCAATTTCAGTGGTGTTGGGCTTGTGCTATTTGTTTCTAAGATTAACAGCAACTCCTTCTCCCAAGGTTGTTCCATATTCAGACTTGATTACTAGTCTTCAGGGAGGGGCTGTAACAAAGGTTCAATTTGAGGAAGGCACACGGCGTATTTACTACAATACAAACTTCAGTAGTCTTAAGAATGTTCAGACAGGTGAAGATAGTTCCTTAGTTCCTGCTGAAAGCGCGGCTGTTCAGACAGGTGAAGATAGTTCCTTAGTTCTTGCTGAAAGCGCAGCTGTTCAGACTGGTGAAGATAGTTCCTTAGTTCGCGCTGAAAGCGCGGCCATAATTGAGGAAAGCAAAGATATGGATAGCAACAAAGGTGGCAGGAGTAAAATGTCAAAAGCCCAACCTGTATGGCAGTTTTCGACGAGGAAGATTGATCATGATGAAGGATATCTTCTCAGTCTAATGAGGGAAAAGGGAACAGCATATGGATCAGCCCCTCAATCAGCACTTATGTCGATTAGGAGCTTATTGATTACTATCTTAACTTTATGGATTCCTTTGACTCCGTTAATGTGGCTTCTCTATCGTCAACTTTCTGCTGCCAATAGTCCTGCAAAAAAACGAAAACCAAGTAACCAGGTGGTTGGCTTTAATGATGTCGAGGGTGTGGATGCTGCAAAAGTCGAACTTATGGAGGTAAGCAGCCATCATTCTGAACTCCACAGTAACTTTTAAGTTTTGTAATTCTGGTGATAATGAGTTTATTATCTCTCAACTAGCAAGCGTTTCTCCTTCTCTTTTTTTCCCTCCCTCACCTGTTAGGGTGGGAGAAGTATTAGCCCTTTGTTGCTTCATTTGATGAGTTGTGATGCATTCAACTAGGTTTATGTATATGGGATGCTAATTCAATACTTGGATTCTGAATATAAAAGCACATGCTTTTTGGATCCGGCAAGTAGTAACTGGAGTTTAAATAGAGAGGGAACCTAGACTTATGTGAATATTAGCATTCAGAATTGCAACAATTAGTTTCTGATGAAATGGCTTCCCTCAAAAAGAAATGGATTCCCTCTTTTTTCAACTGTAGTTCTTTATGTTCAGGCAACCCATTTCCAGTTAGAATAGTCTAAACAGAATTCGCGTGAAAAAAATTAAGTACATTCTTTAATGAAGAGTTGACTGGCTATGTAATGGACATACATGTCGATCCATCTTAACATAGTAATACAAAGGTTATTCAGTTTTAACCATTTCGGGTGACTAACACAATGGGCTCTGTCAGCTCTTTTCGCTGACTATAAAAAATCTTTTATGGCTTCCGACATGTTTAAACAAAATCCTAATTCTTCAGTCAAAATCGTCCAAAAAAGACGCAGCGACAATGTTCTCCTAGCTACATTCGTCCCATTACTTATTGTCTGTAATCTCCCATACATAATTGTTTTCTTCACTTTCCTTGATAACACCGATGATATGTTGAACAGTGAGAACACAATGGTCAAGTGCATTAGAAGTAATCTGTTCCTCTCCATGCTCCTTGCACAAGTACCACCAACTCATAAAAATCCTCCTCTCCTTTTTAAGTTGTTTTGCGTTAAGATATCATTGCGCACTGAGCCAAGCAAAGAAAATAATTTTCTTCAGTGAAGCTTAAACCATTTTAAGCGAGAAACTTCTAACAGTCAAGGAGGAAAACGTAAACACCATGGAAGTACAACAATAGCTAGAAATTGAAATTCCTGATTTAGGAAATATCATAAAACTTGAATAGCTTCTTTCTCACATTTTTGGGATGAAGTAAAGAAACCATTGTTAATTCTGGCATCCAAAAGATGCATAATTAATAAAGCGTTAATGACAGCTTTTCAAAACTCAAGGCGCCAATGAAGTCCAAAATTAGATCTACATCAGTTACACCTATGCTTACACCAACAAAAAAGGTTCAAGAGGCATTTGCTTTTAGTGCAGGGATCGTTGCTGAGCTCTCTCTCTCTCTCTCTATATATATATGTATGTATGTATATATATACATACATATATGTATATATATACATACATATATATATATATATACATACATATATATATATATATAAATACTTTTGAAATTTCTGTTAGTTTCTTTTTCACAGTTCTGCTGCTATATATTAAGAGAAAAACATACCTGCATATAGTCCTACAAACTTCAGCTATATTGCATGATCTACAAATTACTAATTGTAACACTGAGCAATCCATTACCCCCCCCCCCCCCCTTCCCCTTTTCTCTCCCAACCTTTTCTTTGATCCTGACTCACTTTTTACATTGCTAATGATTAAATGAGTATTTTTTTTAAGATAATGCCAAATATACTAGCCCATTCGGTTTATATTGTTGTATTTATTTCCTCAGATAAGGTGTCCAAGTATTTCTCCTCCCATGGAAGGTAAACAGGGTGTTGTGCAGTTCATATGCTATTATTATTTCCTTGGGACGATAAGTGTGAAGAGTGAACCCAAGTAGATTGGTTTCACTTTACAAGCTATTAAAGAATCTGTCTTATGTTGCCTTATTAGATTGTGAACAATTCATTTTCTTGTTTGTAGATAGTATTGTGTCTGCAAGGAGCTATAAACTTCAGTAAACTAGGGGCGAAGTTACCAAGAGGTGTACTGCTTGTAGGTCCACCTGGCACTGGAAAAACGTTACTAGCTCGTGCAGTGGCAGGAGAAGCAGGACTACCCTTTTTTTCCGTTTCTGCTAGTGAGTTTGTTGAAATGTTTGTTGGAAGAGGAGCAGCTCGCATTAGAGACCTTTTTAGCGTAGCAAGAAAGAATGCTCCGTCAATCATTTTCATCGATGAACTTGATGCTGTTGGAGGAAAGCGCGGCAGGAGTTTCAATGATGAAAGAGACCAAACTTTGAATCAGGTAAAACAAAGACTGGGACCTCTATCACCTCTTTGGTGGTGTCACCGTATTTATCCGATGACATCTTGATTGAGTCATAAGTTACCAGTAATATCCTTCTGCTGTTTGTGCATCGTTAAGTTGGATGTTTAGTATTAACATAGCAAAAGCAGTATAAAGCCATCAGTTTATCATTACTACTGCAAGTTGACCCGCTTTTAGTTATCTTCCCTAATCTTTTTTTTCTAAATAAACATTGAGGCCGATGTCCTCATTACCCTTCACCTGGGAATACTTTTCATAACCAGTCACATTTATCATAAAAGTTATGTCATTGCTTTGCTGCCAAGCGGCTAATATTTAAGCTGAATTTGGGAATGTTTTGGTCATATCTTTCTTAAATGAGTTAGTTTATGAATTCGAATGATGGTTGGAACTATGACGGGCCATTGTACATTCTTTTGCGCCTCCTTTTTAACAACAGGTTCTGATGTATATACGCTTGGCTATAAATTTTTTAGTTTTATCAAACCCCTAATTTGCTTTAAAAGACATATCATTTAGTGTTGGAATGAATTGGACTGAAATAGATCGAACTGAGAGGATCCATATAGCGGACTCAAACTAGCTCCTGATTGTCTGTTTGCTCTCAGTAAGGGTGTAGGAATTGAAACATTGTGCTACAAAATTGATATTTTTAATTGTTGGTTATATTATGCATTTGTGGGCCTCAGAAAACCCTTCTGTTTTTCTAGTTGCTTACGGAGATGGATGGCTTTGACTCAGACTTGAACATCATTGTAATTGCTGCAACTAATAGACCAGAAGCTCTGGATCCAGCTTTATGTCGGCCTGGACGTTTCTCCAGGAAAATTTTAGTCGGTGAACCAGATGAAGATGGAAGGAGAAAGATCCTGGCCGTACACTTAAGAGGAGTGCCGCTTGAGGAAGACCTGGAGCTTGTGTGTGACCTGGTTGCATCTCTTACTCAAGGCTTTGTAGGTGCTGACCTTGCTAACATTGTCAACGAAGCTGCTTTACTAGCTGCACGCAGAGGTAAGATTTATACATATTGCACTTAGTACCACTGTTTCATTGCATTCAAAAACGCTTGGTCTCTTGTTGCTTGATTTGTGTAGCTAGCTAGTTTATGCTTATTATTGTAAATGTGTATAATTGGTAGCTAGCTGTTTTATTTGTGTTACTGTAAATGTGTACCAACTCTAAGCGCCGTTCCTTCTCCCTCAAAAAAGGAAAAAAAAAAAATAAAGGAACTACAAAGGAGGGCCAGAAATGGAAGAAAAAGTTAGGAAGGTTTTTGATTGACGAGTATTCTATATCCCCTGATCACCCCTGCATTAGCAGGGCTGTAATGTTTCTTTATTACAGCCAAGCACTTCTTCCTATATAGTTCCATTTTTTTTTATAAGGTAAATATGGTTTCCGTTTATTTAGTACATGAGGAGCCTTCTTTCTCCCTCAGCTTAAGAATTTTGTTGCCGCTCTTTATGAGATGGTGGAGAACTATGCTTCTTATTCTACCATCAAAGAAAAGACAAATTTGTTTTTCTGCTTTACCCGACAAGACTGGTTGGTGTACTCATAGTTCTAATAACAATGTTACATATATATATTTATGTTTTACAGGGGCTGATTCTGTCTCAAGGGAAGACATAATGGAATCCATAGAAAGAGCAAAATTTGGGATCAACGACAAGCAATTTAGCCAAGGTACAATAGGCAAGGAACTGGAAAAACTATTCCCTTGGGTTCCTTCTTTCATGAGGAGGACTAATATGAGAAGTGATGCAATGCAAGGACCTTTGGGGTATCAAACACTCAGCTGAAATATATGTTCTTAAGCCTCTTGCTTATATAATGTTTTCTCTACATGATCAAGAGTGTAATCCCGAGATGAGTTTGAGTTTAAATGGCGAATCATATGGTCAGTAAGGATTCATATAGCCGATCCCAACTTGTTTGGGATTCAGGCGCAGTTGTTGTATCATGCGGAAATTTATAGATGAAATTTTTTTGGCTGCTGTTAACAGAGGCATAGTTGTTGCATTGGGACGCTGCCATAATGTTTCGGGACTACTACAATATTGTTGTTATAATTTGGAAATTTTATACTCAACCATAATCATTCAAGTAGCTCTGAGCACTGTTTTATGGTGGATGAACTAATATGAAATTAGTATAATTTGGAAATTTTATACTCAACCTGAGTTGAATATATCCCTTTCTGCTAGGAAATTATATTGGCATTTATGAACATGAACTTTGATCATTTTCTTTTGGCGAAATGGCCTTCCGGCCACTTAAACTTGCTCTCATTTGTAAAGCCGATACACAAACTTACATCGTTTCCATTTGAACACTCAAATTCTCGTATTTGGTAACTAATAAACCTATTTGACTGTTGACCATGCACATGTGGCATGGAAGAAGTGATGTGGACAAAGAGTGTGCAAGTCACGTAAATTAGGCACGTGATTACAATTATTTTCATTTTAAAAAATCTAAAATCAAAAAAGAATTGCAAATGAAAAAGAAAGAAAATAAGCCCCAACCCCACTTTACCCCACCCCAAATCAGTAATACCATTATTCCCCTAACCTCTTCCTGTTTCTTAATTTTCCCCTTTCCCCATTGTCGTCTACCCCACACCTTCCCCTTCTTTTCTTTCTCCTCCACTCCAATCTTTCCCCACTTCTTCCTCTTTTTGTTTCAAACTCAGCGTAGTGAAAAATAAAGAAAAGCAATGAATTTTGTCAAAAACATTCTGTCAATCCTTTCTCTCACATTAACTCCCTCTTTTTTTCTTTGTATCCATCTCAGACTAGAAGATAGGTAGAGAAAAGAGAAAGACCATCGGAAAATTGTCGAGTTTTACCCGGAAAATCCCACTTACGGAGTCCGACTTCTCTTTCTTTCTGATTTCACCATTCATGTCCTTCTTGGACATAGCCTCGCCGGCTCTCTTGATGCCTTGACGGAATTTTAACAGGTGCCCCATTGACTCTTTGACTTGGGGTATGAATTCTATGGATTTTATTAAAAGTGAAAGATGAAATGGATTTTATGGAAGTTCATGGTTGATTGAGGCATGTGGTCAGTAGGGGTGGGCATCGTTCGGTTCGGTTCGGTTATGAATATTATCGGTTTAGCATATCGGTTATCGGTTTATAAATTTGATAAACCGATAATCGAACCGATAAGATATTGTTTATCGGGTATTGGGTAATCGGTTATTGATCATTATCGGTTGGGTTATCCGTTTACCCGATAAGATAACTCAATCTAGAGTTAAGCAAAAAAGAGAAGATAATTCACTGGAGCTAAGAAAAAAAGAGAAGACAATCCAAAAATAGAAACGTTTAAGTGTTATAATTGCTAAAACTAATCAAAACCCAAAGGCAAACTCATAAAGAAACAGTAAACAAACAATTAAATTAACATTATTACCTCCCATGAAAACTAAAGTTAACCAAAACACAGTAAATATTACAACTTCTTAAAACTAAAAGCAAAGCACAACATAAATTAGCCACACAAAAACATGAAAGTAAATGAATTTAAGCAAGAACTTGAACATCCACTTAAAAATTCCACAAATAGAAAGATTTAACTGACTTAATAAATAATTAGTCCAACATTATTACCTCCAAATAGTCCAAAATAAACTGTCCTAGATAAACGGGATATTGTTTGTCAAATGCCTAAGTTGAAAAAAGAAACCGATAGTAGGTATAAGCTGCACAACGTGAGCTCACAGAATTAAGAAACGAAAATAAAAAAATAAAGAATCTTTAATAATCAAAAATCCATATATGAAGATGAATTTTGTTATAGAAATTAAAAGCCTAATTTATAAGACTAAAGACTTACACTAGGAGTAACTAGTAAGGTCTATGAAGAATGAAGATGAAACAACTGAAGAGTGAAGACTGAAGAATGCGGCTGAGAAATAATAGGAAAGAATGAAGTGAAGCCCTAGCATATGTATATACTTAAGGGTAAAGTAGTAATTTCATTAATTCTTATTGGGTTATCGGTTAATCCATTAACAAAATTAGCAAACCGAGGCCCGAACCGATAACCCAATAGTAAAAAAATTCTAAACCGTTACCGAACCGTTAACCCAATAACCCAATACCGATAACCCAATAAATAATTAACGGTTCGGGTTATCGGTTTTACCCGATATATGCCCAGCCCTAGTGGTCAGGTTATGGCTGGAATTTTTTTCTCAAACTACAGCGCTAAAAGTTGTAGAAGAAATAGTGAAAGAAGTAAAATAAGAATTTTTTTTTGATAAATTAGTTTAAGGAAACGAACCCACAAATGACACATGTAAAATAATAAATAGTCTTAGAATTTGACGTGTTCTTCCTGTCAGGAAATTGAGCTTCACGCTCTGACGAAGGGGTTCATTTATACTCAAAATTGGTTGAGTAGATGTGCTAAAATGGGAAAATCAAAAGTTTATATATCGGTTTTGAAATCCAGTACAAGTTTAAGTGGCCACGAAGCGATTTCGCCTTTTCTTTTCCAGCAAGTGCAATCTCTTCTTATTTTCTTTTCCCTATGCTAAGTGTTAACTTGAAAATTGTCATTGAGATAATTTATTGGTAACAAATAGGTCCTTTCAAATATTAGCATGAAAAGTTGACTGTTTCTTTTCTGAAAGTAACACTACCCATCCAGGAAAAAATTATTCAGGCATATAATTTGTGTTCATTTGACTTTGCTTTAGATCATTGAGGCAGTTCCCTGTTGTTTGCAGTGCCAATGCATCTACTCATTAGTGCGTGACAATAAGGGTGAACTAACTCTCTCTCTATATATATAAACTAAATGTGCGAATTGACTTTGTTTCCGACAATTAGTATACATACTTAACTATAAACTACCACCAAGGGTTGTGGTAGGATGGATAGCATCCCTCTATCCTTAATCATACGTCTCACGTTTGAACTCTGAGAATAGAAAAATTCTGGTGAGGAGTGCTTTCCCCTTTAATTGGTGTGAATGCGATAAGTCATGCCAATGCGGGTACAGGACGCTGATGGGAAGAAGACTTTCTCCTACATAGATCTTTATTCACTAAAGTCTTTCAAGAAGTCTTAGACGTCAAAAATCCGTTTTACGTGGATTATACATCAAACTAAAGAAGGCAATTATATGTTGAGATTAATGTATTCATTTTCTAGTAGAGATAGATATGAGAAACCAAAGTGCAAAAATATGAGTCGAAACAGTAATAGGCGTTTTAGGAAATTTCCATGTCGATTGATATTGCTCGAAATTGCTATGCAGGCGCATCAAGAAACACAGACAGTACGTTAGACTAGACTGCTTTGTAATATCTCTACATGAATGGGATATACTTCGTGCACTTATAATGGATCCATATTTACTGAAGAAGATAGAGACAATTTATATTAGTTCCAACCATGAACAGTACTAAGAACAAGCAACTAAAATAAAAGGAAAACAAGAATGGAGGGAGGTTCCAGAATGCTCCATCAAGATCTAAGCCAAAATAAAGAAAAGACTTGGTATTCGCGTAACGATCTTCTCCGCAGTTATCCCACTTTATATCCATATAGCCGTGTCTTAGCCAGGGTCCTAAACGTCATTTGAGAGGTTCTTTTGCAGATATTTGGGCCTGCTTCCCTTTTTAATGGATCCACTTTCACCACCTTTCTTATCTTGGGCCGCATTCATAACAATACCCCACTGTCAATAAGAACCTTGTCCTAAAGGTTCAGGTTAGGAACAATGGTTGTAGAACAGTCCCCACCAAATTTCTCCAGACCAAAGTGCTCTCTATGGCTAAAGAATAAGATGTGACCTTGTATATTTGCTGCAACAACAAATACTGCTTTTGAAACTGTAGAGGGATAGAGCTCCATCGCCAATGATATGCAGGCACCACCAAATACACCCTCTCCCCGTAAACAAGCGTTTTAAGAAAATCATTTAGTGGTTTTGCATGCTGTGATAGGCTGGTGATGCTATTTGTGTCAACAGAATGAATGTTTGAACTAGTTAACTTTACTGCAGTCATTTTAAATCCAGCCTTGTCTAACAGCGCAATGGTTTTATACCAACACCAAGCTCTTAATCCACCACAATCGACAAGGATATAATGGTTCTTCTTTAAATTATCAATTGTTAATTCCTTGGCTGCCTCCTCCAGACAATTAACTTCTTGGATAACATCATTCAATGCTACCAAAATGTGAGTAAGAGCTGAATACATACTTTCACCATCTGTAGTGTGAACATTTTGACCCGCAGATAGAAGTAGAAATATATTTAGAACTGTGATTAGCTGTTGAATAATTAAATTAGCTACTTTTGTCAGCCGATAATCCAAGATACGAATTGCATAAACTGTCGGAGCTTAATCCCATTGACACCATTGATGCTTGATTGGTACTGTAGAGGAACCATATAGCTTGCTGGCTCAAACCACACTGCTTTGTGAATATATTGCAAAAGCACCTCTTGAACCTGCCAATTATCTCGATAAATCTGAACAAGCTCCTCTAATTTAGTGGAACAACATGCATAGAGAACAACGTCACTGTACTGACACTCAGTCATAAAGGTTAAGATTTGTCAGCATGGATTCTTCACGTAGTTGTGATGAAACAATGTTGTGAAAAGCATGGACACGTTGTGCCTCATAGCACGCAAGAGTAGCTCGCTGGTGCATTTTTCAACTGTGATTTTCTCCATATCTACAGATGGTTCAATAAGCAAAATTCCTTTGTAACAACCACCACATATATTGCTCCAGTGTATATCTTATCAGAATGAATCAGCAGCCTCTGTCCAACCGTTGCTAGCTCCAAATACGAACTGATCACGCTAAAAAATAGTATGGTATCTGGCTGATTCCTGGTGAGTTTCATCAAATTATACAACTCCAATGCACCCTCGAAATATTTCTCAATTGACGTCGCGCTATTTGCCCCCTCACAAGATGTCCGCATTCTACTTAAGACTATAGGTTTACTGATAAACTCCGTCCTCTGCTGACTCTTACAGTCCAGCTAAAAGTGATTAGTTTATTTGTTATCAAAATATAAATTGCTCACACTGTTGGTCAGACCCTAAGCAATTGCAGCAGCTGTAGG